GTTGTTTGCGATATACAAAAACAAAAGGCAAGCAAACGACACACACACACACATTACGGCCAGATAAATGCCAATGATTGTCTTCGTTTCCAGCACACACACACACAAACATATCCTCTCATTGAAAAGGAGAAAAAGAGGGGGTCCAAATGAAGCGGGTCCGATTGAGGAGGTATTGGCGTGGCTGCAGGCAAGGCACACCAGCATGGTGGCGACAGCAGTGGGCAATGGCAGCATTGTACACATTAACATTCCATTCAGTCGCCGATAAATATGCATGCTTGAGAAGAGAAAACATATTTAAATTATGACAACATCAACTCAGAGAGGAACGAGCTGTATGCAGCACCAGCAGGTTTTTTCTTCTTTACCTCAAGAGCACCAGAGAAAGGCAAAAAAGCAAAAGAAGATATGTTTTCAAGAAACGAGCCGTGTTTAAAAGCAAAAAGAAAAAGAAGTAACACAGGCTATTCATTACATGCTGACAAAATGTTGACTAAAAAATTGATACTAACTTATGTAATAATAAAATAAAAACATCAGTAGCACACCAAGATACTAAAGTTGAACCAAAGCTAAAAAAGGCAAAAAGCTCTAAACAGATTTATCATTCTCTTTTACAATTTTTTTAAATCTAAAAAGGTGAAACAAAGTCTGCTTTACACAAAATTTTTATAATGCAAATGCAGATAGAAACACTCAAGTGTTCAGACGGCAACAACTTTCAAGTGAAAAAAACTTGAACACTCTTGTTCTCTTTCTCTTTTTTATAGCCGTCTGGTAGACATTGTAGTTGCTGCTGATGCTGGTAGACAATCAACTGAAAGTGACATTTAGACAGCAAAAAACAGAAAGCAAAAAAATATTCAAATTGAAAACAAATCAAGAGTTAGAAAAGAGGATTGAGATTTACAGTGCAACACAGAATCTCGATTCGTGACTAAGTAAATTGAATTTTACAGTAAAAAACTTTTTCTCATCTCAGCTACATAAGGTTTTTCTCTTTCTTCAGAAACATCTAGGTCAGTGGCAGTTGATCGAAATCGCCATTTGACGATAATAAAATTAGATCGCTGTACAGTGAACAGAGTAACGAGCGGCAAAGTTTAAAACTTCAGCTACTAGGGCTATTTTCAAGTTGCAAGTGCAGGCAAATGCAAACAAATGTCGATGGAAAGAGTAAAGCATTGATTTCCAATTGCAATTGGACTCGAGAACTCTTTGCAAAATCTTATTGCTAACACCAACGGAAAACTCTGTACACTGTCACAGTGTACTTCACTCAAAACACACACTCCCAAAACAAGTCAAATCGATTTAAATGTTACTAGCTGATTTTCAATCTGAGATTTACTGTAATTTAGAGTAAAACAAAAACTGTATTTGCATAAATCAACCTTATTTAGAAAAAGCATTTTGAATTTCAATAAAGTCACTCCAAAATGTTACATACTTTGTCAATAAATAAAACAAAATTTCATTTGTTGTAACCGGATATCTTGCTTGAATAGTCATGCTGTTTAACTTAAAGATTTAATTAAAATTCTTATGTTGCTGCTAAATTAGGAGTCATTTACTTTTTTTCCAACAAGTGCACATTTTTGAATAAAAGTTGTGCCAATAAACATTTTAAATAAGCAACAAAAACATCGTCTTTTATTGAAATAGTTTTGCAACAAATTATATCTTTGTTTCATCTTTAAAGAAAAAAGAAGAAAAATAAAAATGTATCTTTCTTTATTACTTGTGATGTGAATTAATTTGCAATTAATTTGTGGCTTTGACATTCCCCGTCCCTCTTCGTCCCATTTCTCGGCATTCACTTCCCTCACCCACTCATTCAGCGCCATTACCAGTGAATACAGATTGCATTGTAGGCACTGAAGGCCTGGATTGCCTCTACTCAGTCTGCAGCCCATTGATGATGGTGCCCAGTAGAGCAATAGAGACAACACACACAGCTAGCAGTAATATGATAACTGGGCCCACAGAGCAAGAGTCATTAGAAGCAACACATACAAAGCAGAGTATCTTCTTTTCTCACTCACTCACTCTGACAATTTCATCCTCAGTCAGCAGAAGTGTGAGAGTGAGAAAGGAAAAGAGTGACTCTGTGTCTGCTGCAGCAATCTCGTCGTCTCCACTGTTTAGTATTAATTGAGACTTGCGACATAATTGAAACTCATTTGTCCCCTCTCCTGTACTGTGGGTACTTCTCTCATTCTTAGGCCATCTCATCTAGCGCCTCTAATTCGTTATTCGTCATTTTCAGTCCATTTAATAATTTCCTATATACAGAACATCAGTGTGCCGAGTACTGGGTGGGTGAAGGAAGGAAGGGTGAAGGGTTGACTGAATTATCACTTGCCTGGTCACTCTCCACTTTCAGTCCTCCTTGGGCCCACCATGTACAGTGTTGTTATCTTCGGGTACAAGACGTTTGGGCAAAAGTTAGCCTCAGCCAACGACTTTTTCATTCTCTCAGCAGCAGCAGCCAGCCACTCCGACAGAGAACAATCACTGGCACGAGAGAGTGTGTGATGTGTTACATTAATTTCATGCATCGTTTGCCCTCTCGCCCTTTCTCTATCTCCTCAGCGGCAATATGACCATCATCAGACTGTAAATTAATACACGACTTATCGTGACAGTGTCATTCTTTCACTCTCACTTCACATGAACTCTTCTGCCATTAATTACTGCCGATTGGCCACATCACATTACTTTTCTTTCTTTTCTTTTTGTTCCTTCTCTGTTTTAATTGTCCAAGTATAAATCAAAGCTGTAGAGCCAATTTTTCCCTATACTAATTAGTACTGCCAAAATCTTTGCAACTCTATAATTAAAAATACTCGAAACACACCTAATTTTAATCACTCTACCCAAATCATTAAGGATTAGCACTTACCGATAGCACATGGCCATTAAGGCAAAGAAGATGAAGACGCAGCCAACAATGACCACCAGAATGACCACCAGCTGTCCGGCACTCATAGATTGCTTCCTGCCCTCAGGATCTGCAAAAACAAATTAAATTAAATAAATTAGCAAAAACTCATTCTTTTGTTGAATTAAATTTAAAACCCCCTCCTTCTTCCACTGACCGTAATCGTTGATTGTCCAGGGCATGGTAGTGGTGCGATTGTCTATCGGCGCCGGCGTCACATTGGACAGCACTGGAATCACAGCCATCGGCTCCAGTGTGGCCCCGACTGGGCTAAAGCTAAAGGTGGGCTTCTTCACAAAGCTAGAGTCACGATTACCCGGCAAGTAGAGCGAGTTGGCACTACGTTCATCGTCCACCATTGAGGTGGCCTCCGAGAGAGGCACACTACAGTCGTGTCCGACCCAGTTTTGATCACAGGCGCAAGTGTTTGTGTTGGAGCAAGTCTAGTCAAAGAAAAAGAGGAAAATTCATAACATTACAAGAGAAAATAAAGCTTCTAGGCTTTGAGTGATTGACAAATCGATTGCAATCAAAAAGTGCCGGGCAAAACTGGTTCCCCCCAACTTACGCCATGTCCTGAGCAGGTTTCACCGGGTGATATTGTTGGGCAGCTAATCGAATCGATAACCGCCTCAATGCTGACGCACGTTTGATTTATGCAAATCTAGGGAAAAAATTGGTTTGTAGAAAAAATCTCAGTCAAAACTCATTTTGGTTAAAAGTAAAACAATAACAACAACTTTACCTTATTATCCAGGCACTTGGTGCCGTCCTGAATCATGCCCATGTTGGCGATGTCCGCCCGAATCGTCCCCGTGGTAACTTTGCACTCGTACTCTGCTCCATTCGTGTACACCATTGTCCGCGAGTACTCGGGATTTTGCACTTTGAACTGCGGGTTCTGATTGCCAAATTGGCACTGCAGGGAGCCACACATGAGGTTACTGTGGTGATGATGGTGGTGATGGTAGTGATGAGGCAAAAAGATGAAAGTAAAACAGGAAAAACAGCAAATGTCAAAGAATGATGATGATGATGATGATGATTATGGTGAAGGCAGCTATGTTGCCTGTAGATGAGACAACACTGTCGCTGCTCAGCAAGCAGCAGTACTAATTTGCTCAGGCATAATTATTATTCTTTACCAAAAAACTGGTTCATTTACTGTTATTTTCTTACGAAAATCTCAATAAATAAACGACTGGTTTCAAAAACTAAAAATAAATATTTTTTTTAATAATAAAAAGTTAATTGAACATTGTTTTCAAGAAACCTTTTTTGGGCAAATTTAATTAAATGTACTTTTAAAAATATTGTTAAACTACAAATGTCAAATGTCACTTTATTAAAAATGTAGTCAACGCGTTCTGTTTTAACAAAAAAATTAACAAAAAAATAGCAGTTTTTCTATTTTTAACATTTTTCAAACAATTTTAACTAGAAATTTTTTTATTGTAATACAGCTAATTGGAGTCTTATTAGTTGTGTAATAAAAAAATTATGCTTAAAAAAAGGATTTAGATTTAAAAGAAAATGAAAGCAACTTTAAGAGTCAGCAATTACTTTCTCCAGAATAAATTACTGCTTCTTTCCACTTGTCGACTTTTTGATTAAGCTGTTTGTAACAAAACAACGAACAATCGGCTACAGATTATTCCAGTTCCTAAATTTAGAATCATTTGGGAAGGCCGAAAAAGCAAAATCTCTACTGGTACCTCCCACAAACAAATTCATTTGTACATTTTTCTATTCTTTTTTTCCTATGCAATAGAACCTGCTTTGTCAGTTAATTAACCAAACAGTTTTTTAAATTAAACTCACCCTGCACAGTTACAAAGTAAAAAGTCAATTTTTTGAAACTATAAACTTTAGAGAAAAGCACTAGGAGTAGTTGCCTTTGATTAAAATCTTATGAATGTCAACAATGATTCTCAATTATGAGGCCAACTGTGAGAAAAACAACATCAACTGCAGCAGCATGCCAGCAAATGAAGTGAATCGATTTTTAAGCAAGTATCCCCTTCATTTTGCCTACTTCCCCTTCTTCCCCAACTTACCCGGCGGTGCACTTGACGTGTTTTCCGTTGGTGTCCTGTCCGCAGTTGCCCTGTTTGGTGCCCTGGCCATTGTACTGAGAGTAGCAGATTGCCTCCGAGGATCGCGAATTGGTGCCCCAGATGACTGAACACTGGTGGTCCAGTGTGGGACACTCGCCGTTGTAACAGAAGCCGATGCCATCCTTGCACGACTGACCGTTCTTCTTGTACACATCTGGTGGACACTGAGAAAAAAGGAAAAACAAATGAGAGAATGAAAATAAGGCACACACAGTGCTACTGTGTAATCAAGAGTCAAGCTCATTTGCTGACCCTGCTGACCCTCCGCCGATTAGACGAGTCACTGATCGCCGCCTTCTTCTCCCTCTTTTCCCTTTTCCGACCAGCTGTCTGATTAATAAATCATGGCAAAGGGGGAAAAGGGATGCTGACTGAGACAGTCACTTGCTTTACTGCCATCTAGCATCTACAGCCAATAGAAAAAAATGCAGTGCAGGACAGCANGGGGATGCTGACTGAGACTACACTGTGACAGTCACTTGCTTCACTGCCATCTAGCATCTACAGCCAATAGAAAAAAATGCAGTGCAGGACAGCACTGCAGTATTTCACATACCTCGCCACTCTTGCCGTTGCATCTCTCCGGCAAATCACACTCGTCAGCGGCCGTCCGACAGATTTGTCCCAGTCGTTTTAGCTGTGTAAAAGGGTGAAAAGAAAAACATAAGCAATTAGATTGATTCGTCATATACACTTTGTTGCGCAGTTTAGCAGTTTATTCAGCTTTAATCAGCAATCGCATCGACAGCACAGCAGGCCTAACTACTTTGGCTAATCAGCTAAACTAATAAAAAGGGGAAGGAGTGGCAATCAAATGCCACTGCTGTTGATGCTTCATTTAAGAACTTTTTTCCTTCTGAGAAAAGTCTCGCTGCTTCTGAATTAATTTGCCAAAAGTTGTCTTTGCGACGGACGCAGTTGAAGTCCACTAAAGAAGAAAAGTCGGAAGCAAACAAGAGGAAAAAGAAAAGAAAAACAAAGTCGTCTGTTGCCGCGCCACTGGCAGACTAGCAACGTCTCGATTCGATCATAATTAAATTAGTCGAGCACAGTGTTTTCGGTGGCAGTTTCCACCAACTGCTGCCCTTGCTGCTGCCTGTGGTCTTACATACCAAATGTGCCAATTTGAGAAAGAAATCTAGTAGCTAACTTTGAGTAGCCAGACAGCTCCCCAAAGTTAGCTTTGTATGTTTTTGGTGGCATTCCAAACAAGAACCTTTTTTGCTTGACGACTGCTCATCCCTTTGGCTCATTTACCATACCAATTAAAGACTCACACAAACAATTATGCGTCAAGGGGAATTCCAACAAGGCAACACACTGTCACAAATATACGGAGATGCATAAAAATGTCTGTGAGGCCAACTTGATTTTGCTGCATAGAGTTAATATGGCTTTTCAAGCAATGTGTAGTTAAAGTTTTTCAAATTTTCAACTTAGAGTCAATGAGCAAAAACTGACAAAAACCAAAAGCCAAAAGCAAAAAGCAAAAACAAAGTTACAACTTTACCACTTGTTCACTGATTTTTCAAGCAAACAGAATGGCAGAAAAGAGAGTTGAAAGAAGAGTGCTCGGCAAATGCCAAATAGATGAAAAGCTGAAAGGGAGAAAGAGCTTTCATCGCAGTCGACTGGCCTGCGCATAGCTGCAGGCTAAACTTCAAGTTTATATTATCGCTTTGTCAATTTGTGGTTTTATGGCTTTCTGCGCCCCTCTCACTCTTCATTGAGCCTTCACGTTCAGTGCCTGTCTCTGTCTGTCTCTCTGTCAGTCAGTGTGTGCTACTGGCCAAGTCCCAAAGGCAGACTTTTTGCCGCTCAGTTGCCTGTGCACTCTCCTCTCCTTTCTCCACCACTTGTGAAAGCACTCGTCCGTTGCACCCTCTCGGTAATTCTCGGCTGAATAAACGATCAAGTAGATCGTTCTCTACACTGTCTTTCTACACAGTGTCGATGGCAATTGAATTTAGCATGGGAAAGCAGTGTAGTGAAGAGTTTAGAGCACAGTAGAGCTAGACGGCATTCTTCAGCAGCAGTGCTTCCGTTTTGTAAATTATTAAATTATCAAAGTAGTCAAGTAGTGTTTTTAAAAAATCCGAGCAAGTACTACCACCACTTACCTTGCAGTCCTTGCAGCAGGCCCCCGAGGAGCACTCCGCCTCGACCTTGAGCTTACAGGTGATGGGATCACAGCAAGGGTCCTTCTGCATGCACTCGTCAAATGAGCCGCAGTCACATTCCTCCTCCTCCTCGATGATGCCATTGCCACAGGAGCGAAAGTCCTCCAGCTGATTCGGCTTGTTCAGCAGACAGATGCCGTGGCCAATCTGCAGGGCATTGTTGTAGTCGTCGATGCTGCACTTGCTAAAGTGGTACGGCTGAATGCGATCGTCGTTGAGGATGTTCTTTGCCATGATGCAGCCCCACCAGTCGTTGCACTTGCACTGTGATGCTGAAAAAAATAAAAAAATATTTTGCATAAATATTTGCGTTGATTACTTGGTGGTTTCCTAATTAATTCAAAGGTTAAACCGCACGGAATCGATGATGAGGAAATCACTACTTTGTGTGCCTTTTTAAACTCTCCATCCTACTCACCCCTGCTATCGGCATCCTTGCCGTCCTCATCGTGGCCCATGCCAATGTTGTGGCCGAGCATGTGCGTCACCGAGCTGGCCGTGAGATGTGGCTCGTAGATGTTGCTGTCCTGACTGACGCCCACTGCCTTCGCCGTGCAGATGCTGTCGGGCACGGCCATGCCAACCTCGCCCGCTCGAAATGGTCGACCACTGTGATAAGAGGGAAAAAGAAAGAAGTAAATCAAAGAAACAAAATCAGAAACTGTGAACAATGTAGTAAGAAAGTGTATTAGTGTGTGTCTACTAAATTTTATAATTAATTTTTCCACGTCAATGAGCACATTTCATAAACTTGCTGCTGTTCACTTTTTTAATATTTTTTGACTAAATCAGCCAGACAAAAAGAAAGACACCTTAGTTAGATGATGAAGACGACGACGACAAAGATGCTGATGATGATGATGATGAAGAAGAAAATAATCGACTCACTAAAACGTTAAGCAAAACTTAATTAAAAAGCCTATTGAAGTTTGTGCCAGACAACAACTAGTTTTTGCCTTTTTCAAAGTTTACCTTCATCATATAAAACTTGTTTGGTCGTAAACTAAAACATTCTATACAAACTTTTAAAAATCAAATCAACTGTCCATATAATCTTTTAAAAAATAATTTTTTAACTGAAAAAAATAGTTAAAGAATCTAAATAGAAAAATTATTTTGCAGTTAAAAAAATTAATTATTTTTGAATAACCTAAAACAAGTTTTGTCTATTTTTAACTATTTCAGCTGCATTTGTTAAGTTTAAAATTGAAGTAAACAAAAAAGTGAAAAAACATAAACTATTTTAAACTCAAAACTTGACAAAATAAAAAAAATAGCAAATAATCAAAATAATTTGCAGCTAAGAGGACAAGACAAAGGCAAGTTGAGTAGAAAAACTGGTGTGACAAACGACAAATTTGTCACGAAGCGATCAAACAAACAAACAAACGAGTGAACAGAGATAATAAATGAAAAAAGAGACAGACAGACGGCAAAGGGGAGAAGAAGAACAAGAAGGAGAAAGAAAATGAATATTTGCCTGACAAATACAAAAAGTACTACACAAACTAGGAGCCAGAGGAATAAACTTTTGTTTTAAAGTGATATAAAATGACGATCATTTTTTAGGCTGTTCTGTTCGGTTCAGTTTGGTTCGGGCTCCGGCGCACAGCAAGACAAATTTGCCCGAGTTTTAAGTGAAAATGAGGATGAAGATGAGCAGAGAAGAGTGGGGACAAAAAGCGGCTGGAGAACATCCGCTTTGACAGTTGCAGTTGGCTAAGCGATGGCAGAAAGAACAGGCAGCAATGCAGCAAAGCGACACTTTGCAGCTCAACCATAATGGGCATACTGCACTCTTCCTCTTTCTCAGCACTCCAACCTCCTTCTCCTTCTTTTGGCATAACCGTTTAAATGCATTTGATCATATCGTTAAGCATCTCTCTCTCTTCCCTTCTATCTTTGCACTGGCTGGGCATAAACAAGTCTGAGCACGTACATAAATTGGCTTTTCGTGGGTCGCTGGCCAAAGGCACCATTCACTCATTCACTCATTCACTCATTCGTCAGCCAGTGCAGCATCTCGAGCTTTCCGAGCTGCTTTGACAACGACAACGATGGCTGAACTAGGAAGCATCCAAAACTTGCAAGACTGTGCACTTTTGTGTCTGCACCCCAGTCAGTCTTTAGCCACACGTCGATTCGATCGAATAATTCTACTGTTCACCAGCAGAGCCACCACCACCACTCAGCACGAACTGCTCAATTTTGCATTTTCAAATTATTATACAAGCGTTGCCAAAGGAGAGAGAGAGAGAGATGAATGGATGGAAATCAATGAAATGCTAACCAGAGATGGAAATGAGACTGTGACTGAGAGGATACAGACAAACTAAAGGGAAAAAGCATTTTCTCTACAGCTACTGCAACAAACACTCAGAGTAAAATGATTTCTCAATAGCCTGGCGCATAGTTAGTATCTACTTCAGGCAAACACAAACAAACAATAGCACTGGCAACATATTTTATCATTTGTGCAAATGTGTGTGTGTGTGTTTAACAAAAAGCAAAATATAATTTGTAAAACTTGGAAACAAGCGTGGTGAAAGAGTGAAGCACCAAACTATCCCCTTCTTCGATGTAGATTTACTTTTTTTACTTTGCAGCAAAATGATAACAATTGAAATTATTCTGTTGCCTAAATCAGCTGCTGAAAAATCGAAAAAAGCAAAACAAAATCGTTAAAGCTGCCGCTGCTGCTGTCGCTGCAAAGCTGTGCACTCATCTTTTTTGTTGCTGCTGGTGCTGTTGGTGTGTGTGTGTGTCATTAGCAAATGTTGCTTGCAAGCAAAATGGCATTGCCAAAAACTGTTTCACAGCAGCGTCTTGAGACATCGACACATAACAGCTACCGANGTCATTAGCAAATGTTGCTTGCAAACAAAATGGCATTGCCAAAAACTGTTTCACAGCAGCGTCTTGAGACATCGACACATAACAGCTACCGAAACAACAGCAACAGCAGTGACTTAGTTTTCTATACTGTACCGATAGTTTTTCTTTTCTACAAATTCTTCCATCCATCTCATAACATAACATCTCTTCTTATCTTAATCTATGTGCGCAATCAAGTGCTTTTTTGAAAATATATTGAACGGGTAGACTTTAGTGTAGAAAACGAGAAAAAAGCACTGGCTTTCAGCAGTCAAACCAACAGAGGCATCATGTGATGCCGACGCCAAACACTGGCAAATAGGATAGAGCAAATCGATAATATCAAAGTATGGAATACACTTTAAACTTGAAAAAAAATTTGTTTTTCTTGGCCACAATGTCCTTACTCAAAGTATCAGTGTTTGCAACAAAACGATGAATAGTTTGGAAAATAACTTTACAATTACAAGCCTTTGTCTGAATGTTGAAGCAACAAAAGAATGCATTTTGCATATTTCAGTATGCTGATACTGATAGCCTCAATTGCCAGATGACAATTGGTGCCAAAATGCCGGCACTAAACTGATAAATTGTCGCTTTTTGAGTGGAAACTAAAAACAAATCAATCATCAAATGCAAAGTATAAAATAAAACAGCTGTAAATTGCAACAAAAATTAAATTGAAAAAACTCTCTCTACAAAATGCACCTTTTCAAAAAATAAAACGGTGTGCCTGGGCTTGTGTCCGGGCCCAAAACTGAAGACAGCACAGTTCTGCTGTTCTACTGCTACTATTTACTCAAAAAGAAATTTGATTATAATATCAATACGGATGATGATAATATAAGGCAGGCAATATTTTGACTGGTCAGTAGATTTGCGTAGTGCAGAATGAGTACCAGGGAGAGATATTCGCATCGCTTTTTCTCCCACTTCATACAGACGAAAGCAATTGACCAAAATAAAGACGGCAGCTGAAAAGAAGCTAAACAAAATGGGAATTCTATAGAGGAAGTCAGTGAGATAAAAATGAAAGACAGAGAAAGGGAAAGTCGCCATTCAAGAAAGAGAAAGAAAAGGGAAGAGCGAAAAACGTAAGATAAAAGAAGATTGAAGGGAGAGGGAGAGAGAGAGAGTATATCAGCGCAGGACGAAGTGCAGACAAATTCAATTATTGCCTGCAAACTGTGGCCACTCGGACCCTCGGCCCTTCTTTTTCTTCTTCTTCTTTCTCTTCCCACACTCTCTCATCCTCTGTGGGCCCCTTTTGGGCGACTCTGTTTCAATGGTGTGTGCATCATTCAATCACAGAAAAAGAAGAAGGGACAACAGCAGCAAATATGATTGTGCCGAATTATTTCGGCAATGCGGACAAGGCAGAATTGGAATCGTGTCGACGTAAAGTTGAAAAGAAGCACGAGCAGAGGAGGAAGAAGAAGTTTGCTCATTGAAAAATAGAGCTACACTGTCGCAAGACTAAAAAACACTGCAAAACATTCTCTTCACCAAGCACTCAACCTTGTTTTAGAGAAACTTAAAAACAAAAACAAACTTTTGTATGCGTAATGAGAAGACGCTAATGACAAGAGAGTGTGAGCTAAATCTGTTTTTGTAAACACTAGAAACAAAAAAGTGAAAAGAGCAGTACTTACACTAGAAGATGCGCCGCATCCATCTCCACCTTGTAGAGCTTCCTCGAGACGTACTCCATAAAGCTGAGCAGCGTCTGTCTGACATCATCGCTGACGTCAATTTGATTGCCNCTTACACTAGAAGATGCGCCGCATCCATCTCCACCTTGTAGAGCTTCCTCGAGACGTACTCCATAAAGCTGAGCAGCGTCTGTCTGACATCATCGCTGACGTCAATTTGATTGCCGAAGCCCCAGGTTTCAATGTACACCACGGAGACGCGCGTGTTGATCAGCCGAAAGTAAAGGTCGACGATGTTGATGATCTGAAAGGCGTCGCTCACCACGTCATTGACGCGAGTGTTGTTCCGCGCCTTAAACTAGTTTGTTTGAAAGCAACTCTTTAGACACAACGGGCAAAACAACAACAACAACAGCTGAGAACATTGCAGACTTACCATCGATTCATCGAGAACAATGGCCAGCTCGATGAACTTATCCACTGCTCGGACGTCACGTTTCACCTTCTGGCTACTACTGCTTTCGCTTCTGCTGCTGCTGGAGGCAACAATGCTATCCATTAGAGGCAACAGTTGAGGTGGCGGTGCAAGCGATGAAACGGAAGCAAAGCGTGAAGTCTTCGACATCAGAGTGTTGCTCAGCTGAGGTGGTGATGATGAGTGTAGATGATGAGATAAGGTTGAGGGTGCGTTTGAAGGCGTTGTGGTCAAGGTGAAATGCGGTGAGGAGGGGGAAGAGGGGGAAGAAAAAGAGGAAGAGGTACTGGGCACTGGTTCATCGGCTCCACCGAATGACTCGCCGGGCGGTGGTGGATCAGCCCTGAGGGCGCCACTGTGCGGCGGCCGTTGTCGGTACTGCTTGAAGCCCCACTCGTGGAGGCGAGTGTTCCCGCACGTGTGACTGGTCGGGTGCGGGTCGGCGCCAAAGGAACGGTAGATCACGTGAGGATGGCGTCGCTGTATTTGTATTGGGGGTTATGATTGAGCCAGTTAGTGTTAGTGTTAGTGGGTAATTTGAGCAGACCACCACCAGTAGTAGTGTGCTGCACACACCAGCAGTGTCCACTTACCGAGAGATCGCCGCCAACAAAGGGGCTGATAACGAACGTTTCATTGTGAAGGTGAATCATTCCGCTGAGAGTAATTAAGCAGAGGGGGGGGGGCGGAGAAAGAAAAAGGAGAGCGGCAAAAACAAAAGACAAGACAGTGTTCAGTGGTTAGTCGTTGCTTGAGCAAACACAGACAGGCAGACGAACAGACAGACAGTGCTTGCCACACACTCTTAAATGGGCCATTAAATGAAGACAAATTACCTAATTCCTTTGCAAGTGCTGAAGCCCGCCAACGCACCCGGATAATCGCGAATCGTGCCGTGGTAATAGCAGTTTTCGTATTCCTGCGTGAAAAAAAGAGGAAAATTAGGAGACAAACGACGGCAATTACGCTAAAGTGAGACAGACAGACAAACGAATGCTCACTTGTTCACTGGTTTTTTACAAGCACTCAAAGTGTTGGCTGCTAGAAAACACACTTTTTTTGAGATAATTTAATTTACTCTGTTCACATGCTTTTTACACTGCAGTTTCCCACTTCCCATCTTTCATTCTCTACATCTAATTGGCCAGTCAGATTGGGTGAAAGCAAGTGTTAAATTTAGATGATATAAAGATAAAGAGATGCTTTTAGAAAAATAGCTACATGTTTTTGTTTTTGTTTTTTTAAAAAAAGCAAAAAAGCGTTTATAGTTTTCCTTTAGTCACCAATAAAAATGTACACAATTTTCTCAATACTTTTTCCTTTAGTTCCCGTTTATTGTCAATGATCGTTAATTAAATTGATTAGCCTTTTCTCTAATCCTTGATGTATAAGTGGGAGATTACCAATGGTGGACACACAGGCAAACACAGTTCCGGCCGACACAGCAAGTCCAAGTCGAGTAGTAGTTAAGCAGCAGGAGCAGTAAAGCTGTAGCCGCAAGACCGGTGAAGCAAAGAACATGGCCAGTTTTTGGCAACTGCCTGTCCTGACGGCGGCGGTAGGCTCTGGTCGCTAATAGGACTAATGTATCAATTGGCCGGTGTAGTACGTTGGGCAGAGAGAGTGAGATCGGCACTTCTGACCACCCAACTGTGCCCAACTGGCAGAGAGCACACAGCACACAGCACACAGGCCGGCATGCTAAGCGAGTGTAATCCCCTGTAAGGGCTTAAGCTTGTCAAATGATAATAGTAGTAATGGCGGCAGTAAGGAATGCAGGACGGCAAGTGTACTCTTGTAGTCCAAGCTACCACAGCTACCACAGCCACCACCACCGGCCTACTTTCCTGCACTGCATTTCCCAGCCAGAGAGGCACAGCCTCTGCTCTCACAGTAATGCCCTCGATTTTTGCATCTTCTGAATCAATTTACCCATTTGCAAGCACGAGGAGAAAGAAAGAAAGAGCAAGTGACCCCAGCAGACATCTATTTATACATCATCAATTTGCTCAATAATTGACGACAAATTGGACGGAGAGAGCACTCGTCGTTGGACGCCATTTACAGCCTAGAGTTGCATCCTATTGCTTTTCCATCTTTTATTTTTTTCCATGTCCATTCTACTCTAACTGGCCAATTATTCCAATGAATTTCATTCTTTTACCTCTTGCTTACAACTGCTCAAACTGAATAAAGTGTAGTGTAAAAATGCATGATAACTTACCTGTGTAGAGATATGTTGGGCACCTTCTTGAAGCAGATGCTTTTGAACTAAATTAGGGGCTAACAAGTGACTGGAAAAAAATCAAAAGATTGAAAATGATTAAAAAACAGATTTAAGTGTAGAGCGACTTACGAATTGAGCTCCAAATCAAGGCGAAACTTGTAATTAAAGGCTTTGATGAGCAAAGTAGTTTTCTTGTAGTGACGATCAACACCAGTCTAAAAATTGGAAAATTAATAAAAGCGGACAATTTAATAAGCTGTGTACAAAGTTATTTTTAGAATTACATTTATTTATTTCTGCAGCAATATAACGGATAAAAATGTTGCAAAACTGCTGAGTCAAACTTTTACAAACTTGCTGCCCAATTGTCAGAATCTGGCGCCAGTGTTGATACAGTAAAACAAAAGGCCTATTTTTATTTTTACTTTTTATACAAAAATAAAAATTTCTAAAAATATTTTTAAAGTTGAACATTGAGTGAATACAGGTATTTTCACTGGATTGAAACAAAAAATATT